ATGCCACACTGCCACTGTGCCATCTTGCGACTACCAGAGCGTGATTGAAAGTGACGAGGATGTAGGATTTACACTCAGTTATTATCCTGTCGTTCAACTGTCACAGATTCTACCATACGTCGTACTGTGGCAGTGCCAGGTTGGCTAGTAGGTTAATGCCACACTGCCACTGTGCCATCGTGCGACTACCAGAGCGTGATTGAAAGTGACGAGGATGTAGGATTTACACTCAGTTATTATCCTGTCGTTCAACTGTCACAGATTCTACCATACGTCGTACTGTGGCAGTGCCAGGTTGGCCAGTAGGTTAATGCCACACTGACACTGTACCATCGTGCGACTACCAGAGCGTGATTGAAAGTGACGAGGATGTAGGATTTACACTCAGTTATTATCCTGTCGTTCAACTGTCACAGATTCTACCATACGTCGTACTGTGGCAGTGCCAGGTTGGCCAGTAGGTTAATGCCACACTGCCACTGTGCCATCTTGCGACTACCAGAGCGTGATTGAAAGTGACGAGGATGTAGGATTTACACTCAGTTATTATCCTGTCGTTCAACTGTCACAGATTCTACCATAGGTACGTCGTACTGTGGCAGTGCCAGGTTGGCCAGTAGGTTAATGCCACACTGCCACTGTGCCATCGTGCGACTACCAGAGCGTGATTGAAAGTGACGAGGATGTAGGATTTACACTCAGTTATTATCCTGTCGTTCAACTGTCACAGATTCCTCGGCTGAAAGCGCACATTGTCGGATGTGTAGGACTTTTACTTTTTAGTATGACTTCTTCTTATATTTAAACCTCTTATTTCGAATCGTGTTGTTTTTAGTTTGATTCCGGTTCACAGAAAAAATTACAATATTAAGTTTTCTATTGAACTGATAATTCCTGTTAAAATCATACAGCAAGGCTGTACGAAATCCCTGCTAAATGCAAAATACAAATTTAGTATCGTAAAATATTTGCACCCTACATACAATATTTTTTTAAGAGCTTCTTTATAGAGGGTTTTCTCACTGATCTTCCGATCTCGTCGTTTATAATGATTCCAACCACTTTTATCACTAATAGTGAAAAGTTTTGTGTTCATGTCAACTTAAAAATTTACACAATAACATTTCATAAATATGCCTAGTGATTTAGTTTGTGTATTTTGCTTGAAGTTCATGTATAATTTAAATTTAACCTTTGGCCACCTTTTGAATTGTGGATGCTGACACTGTTTGTAATTAATTGAGGGAAGAAATCAAACCTATTGTTTTTTAAACACAATTTAAATTATATTATTACTTGAACGGTTTTAAAACTGCATTGACTTTTGGGTACGTGGGACACTGTACTTGTATTTAGTTTAACTAATAAATACTAAATGGTAGAAAACGGTCGTTTGAATAAATAATGGGTGGATGTTGAAATCAATTGTTAGTCAGCATTTATTGCAGCGCGGTGGGCGGTGGCGTAGAACTGTTTAGTTTCTGCGCGGGAAATCACAAGAAGAAAGCGGAAAGGTGAATCTGTGGCCCTTGACTGACCTAAAAGTTACACAATTACTTCCATTTGAACAATACAAAAAATACCGTGATATTCAAAATGGTCTATAATACGCGCCACCACGAACACTACACTCATCTCCATTCATACTTGGCTTAAAATACCTACTTTGTATGGTCGCCATTTCATTGAAAAGTATTTTAAAAGTAAAAGTAATAAAATGGATAAAAGCTCTGTCGAGGTAACAACAATTATATGATACATTATATTATACGTCAAATGAATTATTCAAGCTTGAAAAATTTTCCTACACCAGCATAAGCTCTATCTGAAATTTCACAAAGATTCAACTAAACGGAATTCAATCACATTTAACCAACTAAAATCCTTGTCATTATAACCCAAGACCCAATTAAACTAAACCAATTAAACGTTCCGATTGAACCAAGATGTTTTGTTTGTTTGCATTGGCATCAATTTAAATCAATAACCACTTTTCATAGAATAGTATTAATGATTGTTTTTAGAATATGTTTGTTTAAATTTAATATTTGGATTTCATACCTGAGAGAAAATGTTGGTCATTCGGAAGTACAATTATGGCCAATGTAGAAATTGAATAAATCTATCACCAAAATAGTAATTCGTTACATTTAATATACAATTGAATATAACAATATCTTTTAGTCTATTATATTGTTTGGTTGAATAAAAATTTTAAACTGTAATTTTCTCAATTTGTTTAAATATAATTTAAATATCATGATATCATTATCAATTTAAATATCATTAATATCATGATAATTGCATAACGTTGTTTCTTTTCTATGAAATTATATAATTTCGTATTTAGGATATCTTTAAAAGAATAATATTCCTACATTTACCGAACCACTCCACACAGAAGATTGCGTACCATATAGTGTTTAGATATGTAATCACTATGCGATATTTTTATGCTTAGCTTGTCTTGTAATGTCGTTCAATGATATTCAATGATACGAATCTGTTGTAATATTATGTTTGTTCAGGGATATTAGTCGTCACCAAGTAATGTTGTGGAGCAACAAAAGTGTACGAAGTTTCAAGTTAGCTACATCATGTTATCGAAACATGTTTAAGTTATGATTTGTCGGGTTTTACATGTCTCTTTGCTATGATGTCGCCGAGGTGAGACAGTGTATAGAGATGAACAGAGACGTTTGAACGCTATCTGCCAGGTGACTGATGTTGACGTTTATGGATGACTGTGGAACAAGTCTAGCAGAGACCTGCCAACTTTCAATTTTCTCGGGAAAAGAAATGTTTTTCATTTTCTCGACTACTCAAACTCGACTGTTATTGGCATCGCACCGTACTAATGTTTGCTGCTACAGGGAAGGTTACAAAGTAGTTTTTAGTGAAATGTTAATAAATGGTGGTGTAAAATTAATAAATTTTTGAAATTCGTTCAAAATATGTTCATAAACGAGCAAAATACAAAAGTTTAGTTATTCTTAATAAAATTAATATGGATATTTTAAATTTACAGTTTTTTTTTTAAGTTTCACCCTTTTTTATTGAAGCTTATAATAATGATTCCATATAGTAAATATTTTTTAAGCTCTAAAAAATTGTTTGGATACAAATTGCAACATTTTATGTTTTTGTGGTAAAAAATTGGAAACATATTTTTACCCCATGAAACCCCGTTATGATAGCCTAATCATGCTGGTTCGTGAACTCGTTCGAATAGACGTAGATTTACACGTTGATGGTATGTAGGCCTAATAATGACTAAATTTTCAAATACGAAAATGATTTAAATTATACTAATACAATTTTGTAAGAACTACACCTATTGCAACCCAAATATAATGGGGAGATTATGGATTTTTTTAACAGTCTAGTAAAGAATTTTTAAAACTCGGAACATTTACTATTAACCATAGAGGTCGTCCAGAGGTCGAAGTCTCTACCAAAAATATTTAATGTACAGACTTCTCTATTTTCACCCTATGCTGTAAAAAACACACGTGATTGGAATTTCTTCCATTTGTTTTGATTTGTTTTTTTTTTCGTTGCTATTTCGTCACCAGCATGGAACCCGATAAGGCCCAAGTTAACATTAAAAAAAGAATTCAAATTCATTTGTTGCGCTTATTTTTGAGCACATTTTAATTTGTAAAGGGATTCTGCACATCTACAGGAAATATATATTTCTAACAGTATGCTTAGATTTTCCCTGCGATGCACACGAGTTGGGATAAAAGGTTTTAAAGAAACTTGCTTGCCTATTAATATATGGGCGAGAGCTTGCCCCGTGGTCGAAAACTCGACCAAAAGTATGTAGGCTATTGTGCAAACTTCTCTTCCCAGTTTTTTTCTACCCACGCTGTAAATAAAACATGTTATTGGAATTTCTTGCATTTCTTTTGATTTTATGTTTATTTTTCGTTGTTATTTATTTCGTCACCAGCATGGCAAGCAATAACGCCCATGTTAATTTTCCAATTTTTAATTCATTTTTTGTGCTTATTTTTTAGACTATTTTAATTTAAAGGGATTCTGCACTTCTACAGGAAAATATCTTTAATTTGGTACCAACCACGGGTAATTAAGTCCAGTAGGAAAGCCAGGCTAGCTGTCGTAAGCTTTGCAAAATTTTTTAGCAAATAAGATGTGCAATTAATTATAAAATTAAGAGATTAGTTCACTGTGTTGGTAAATTTTATAGTATCCCGTATAAATTATAATATTGCACTCTAAAATGGCCAAATTGAGGTTTTTAATTTTCGAAGTAACCAATTACCTTGAACTATCATTTCCCGTTTGAAAGGCGACTCCACTTTCAACAGGTAATTTCGAGCCATTCGTTTGCCTGAACCACTAATTTAATAATAAACCGACGGCGTTTCGGATCCATCTGTCTGGCCGTCGTCAGGTGTTTGCGTTCCGATCTGGTAATGAGAGCTCGCCCATTCGTCCCGCAATCATCGGTCCCGTTGCGCCATCAGTCCGAAATAAATTATCGCTGTGTCGAATCGTCGGCCGATTGTAGGGTTTGGACGGTTCCGCAGCGCCCTTTCACGACTTAATAATGTTTGGCGTTTAGACTGATGTTGCGTCGGGCGCCGCTTCGACTTGCCTGTGGAAGCGATGACAATACAATACAGTTGTGACTCAATCGATTTAAGATATCTTATGGCTTGCTTTATTATAAGATTGTTTTGTTACTTTGTTAACATACAATGTATTGGATAACTGAACTGGACAAACTATCAAACTTGTAATCATTATCATCATAATTCATGTAAGAGAGGAAATGTCTTCGACAGAAACCAACTTTGTTAGTGGCTCATTCAATTAGGTTGCAATCTGAATACAAAGTTGGCTACAGCTGGCCCATATAGATGTGATGATACTTCATTATACAAAAGTTGTAGGAGGTGTTTAAGGTCCAAAATGCCATTATTATGTGAAGCAGTATGTGGTATGTATTTTAACTGTCATCTGTGTTCCAGGGGCCAAGAAGCAGAATGGCTCGGCGCTGCGGACCAACAGTCTGGGCTCTGGCACGAGGACGCCGCCACTGGAGAGGAAGAGCAAGTTCTCTGCTTTGGGGCGACTGTTTAAACCTTGGAAGTGGAAGAGAAAAAAGAAAAGTGAGAAGTTCGAGGCCGCTCAAAGATGTGAGTATTTTTCAATTGCATTTTAGTTGGAGTGCTTAAGATGTTCGCCAAAGAATCCTGTTTTGTGATTGTAATGACAGAAGAATTTACAATAGTCACTTCATACTATACTCCAAACTCGGTGATGAAATTTTAAGGAAGTTCTAGTCCAGTTTTCTATGTGAGATGTAAACAACATAATCAAAATACAACCACAATTTGTTATAAAAACTTAGTTTAAGTTTTGTTTTTTTCTATAACTGTAGCGCCCTGAGTATGTTAAAGAAAATTATAACGACATCGTGACTACTTGAACCATCTTTTATGCTTTTGTGATGTTTTAGAGAATTTTCACTGAAAATCCTTTCTGAGTTTAATATTAACATTTTAAATTATGCATCACTGCCTTAATATTGAAATACTAACTGTGTGCCCCGTTCTACGCACGGGGATCTTATCGTAGTCAGTTGAAACCTTCTTATATTAAGAACAGCAGTTGGTTTGCATATTTTCAGATATGCTGGTAAAACTATTATATATAAATCTTCGCAAATACAGTATCTGACAGTTTCAAGCCAAAACAAATGCTTCGCAATTAAATGTCACCCGGATCGTGTTGGTCCATGTGTTAAATCCAATTATTAAACTAAAAAATGTTTTATAGATCCATGAGGCAAGAATTATTCCCCAGTTGTATTTCAGCACAACCCGCCTCATGGTTGGTAATTGGTATTGTAGCACGCGCGGGCGAGGGTGGTCTCGGCGCGTTTGCCGTGCTTTCTCCGGCGTTGCGCGGCCCGCAGACCCAGTTGTGGTGGCGTATCCGCTCCACTAGCCGCGTCGCGCAGTAATTGCTGGTTTCCTCGGTATCCGCCACAACGCTTTCGGTTTCTACATCGTTTGCATGAAACAGCGTAAAATGGAGGAAGTGGAGGGAAACTGTTAATTTTGTTGTAAAATACTTATTATTGAATATTAGGGTTGGTTGTGAGCGTATGGGTTTATTTGGTCACTCGGACCACTCACTGAATAAACCGTCATATTTATAATAGTTTTGAACCGTAATAGTTGTTTTGAAGTCTGTTAAGTTATTTAAAATACAACTCTTACTCATCTTGACGAATTATTCGGCACACATTCTTCCTGCTCTTAAATTCTAAAACTCTGCACATGATACCACGGGTGTAATAGTGTGCTAAAAACCAGTTTTGTAGTTTAAATAAACGAGTAAAATAGTGCAATAAGTTACTTGGTGAGTTAACACCCCATTTTACGCATGTGATTTACCTCCTTTCACTCGCTTACATTGTTAATTAAAAACTCGGTGAACTTAATTGGTAAATTTTGAGTTTTAAGAGGACCGTTCCCCTTTCTTAGTGCAATTTGAAACCTTCCACAGCAAGCCTCGTTTACACCATGAACTTGGTTCATAAACTTCTGTTGTACAACCAATTATAGCAATTGGTTCAAACATGTTTAAAAATACAATGAAAAATATTAAACAAGTTGTACAAAAACGTGTTGTACAACAAGAAATCGTGTTTTACAACATGTGTTTCCGACTCTTATCGGAAAGGTCAAAGGAAATTTTTGTTTTATAATGTTTTGTTTTACAACATGTTTAACATCCACAAGAAACTCCCAACTTGTTTATCAAACAACGGTCATCCTATATGGTCTAGCCTATATCAGTTCGCATATTGTACAAACGATTGTAATATGTGACTGAAGTTCTTTGAGCTAACTCCTGTTATACATGTTTGATCATTCTTTTTGGCGCATACAACTTGCAAAAAATTGTTGTATAAACACAAGGTCAGGTTTGGTAAAACAAATGTTTAACTAAACATGTACATCAAACGTTTATAAAAACAAGTTGCATAGTGTAAACGCGGTATTAAAATTGTTACCAAAATAATTTGGAAAAATTGTTTGTTTCATTAAAAATAGAGCGCTTTTATCTATGCTACGATTTAGAAGCGGTAGACAAGTAATTGCGTTTATGAAGCGGGAGATGAGCTGACCTTGCCCCACTTATCTTGTCGGACCGCCACTGTTCATATTGACGGTATTGATAACATACCAGAATAGCGCCGCTATTAATGTGGCAGTGACGGGGTATTATTAGACCACTCATGTTGCCGTGATAATGTTCAGTTTGTCGCGCCTTTTAGCTTCATTGCTGTTCGCAACGCTAATTTATGGTCCGTTGGTTTAGCAACTATTTTATGTTACGTGTGTTATATGTTTAGGCGTCGACCAGCGATCAAATAAGCCTTGTTCAGTAAACATTCTTGATATGTGATTTGTTTTACAAAGGACTAATGGTAGAGGGATTTGGAAGAACATATAAACTATTGAATTAGTAAAAGGAAAAAAAACAGTATCGTACTTCCGTATTTCCATAGGTTACTATGTTAAACACCAAAACCATGAGCTTATTCACAAGATCTGGTCTGCCTACTGTTAATTACTGACAAAAAGAAGCAAAAAACAAATGAACAAATCTGTAAAATAAATCAAATGCCTAGAGTTATTTGGAACTACCAAAAACTCTATGATCGAGCACAACTGAGGGAACTACTACCCATCGCATGTTATGTAACACCCTTGCAAACATTTGAATAAGCGTCTTCAAAATGTTGAAAGTTAGACAAATAAATTTAATTTATTACTTTTGTAATATAAATATCAGAGTTTCAAGAGTCAGTGGTGAAGGTTGCTAGATGAATGAATGATGTCGAACGTCGACCCCAGTAGGAAGGCGTACCTCAGGGCTCCGTCCTTGGCCTACTGTGTACCCGCCAGTACCACTCAGTCTGTGTACCCGCCAAAATTACACACTTCGGCTTTCATACAAAGGCGATTATCAGTTATTTAAACCACAGATTACTTTCTAATAGTTTCCCAGTAAATCGTTATATTACATATTTAATAATTGTTCAAAACCATTTTGATGTATCAGTTGTTTCATGCTCAACATTTCAATGTAATTTAGGCTGAACATAGTGAAACAACGTAAAATAGACGTTGTAAAATTAATACCCGTTGCCATATCGCTGAACGAATGTAGCCACCAAGTCGGTTGAAATATGCAGATATATCCAATTATTTTTAAGCTCGAGTATGTAATCTCCCCTTTGTACCTGATACAGTGCAATGCAATTACAGTATATCCTCAGTCAGTTCATCGTCCACGGTCTAGTTCTGTGTCCCTGGCACGGCCGATGCACGAAGATAGGCTTAGATAATCATTTAAATACTTAACTATATGTTTGAACATCTGTACCACCTATAAGAAAATAATATTTGTTGTTTAACTGTGCCAAATGAACGTAATTCATTGTTTAAAGTCTAGGCCTTCTGTGAGGCATATTAAACAAATATAGTACGTTAAAAAAAGAAAGTAAGGACCATTTCAACATTTTACGTTTCTGTTTGTTAAAGGGGTCCAACGTTTGTCGAGCAGGTGCACCAATTTGTAAAATTGTGCTTTTTCACACGCCCAAGAAACTTAATCAATTCAGGATTAGTGTTCAGTTGTGAAATAATTTGTAACTGCGTTCCTACATCCTGCAACTGTCCAGTGCTCAGTGCCAATGAGGGATTGTCCAGCGTTCCAAATTGTAAATTGACTCCCGACTCAGCTCACTATTGGCCGATTGGTTGTTGTTACGCTTGCTCGGTTTTCCATTACCTCGTCTTGTTTGCTGTAATTATGTTTGTTTATTAGACAGGTTTAACTACAAGTCGGTGGCTTTTACGACATTGTCTATTGCGAAATATACCACTGGACTGCAAAGAATGTGCAAAATGTCTATACAATAATTGTTTATAAGTTTGAAATTGCGATTCTTTAAACCAGAGTAATAGCAAATATCGCCTACAGGATTGTTTATAATAACCAGTTACGTATGTTTTTACTCCGTCACAAACTACTCAAACCTCATGCAGTTATCTACTCCATCTATCCACTACAAGCATTGCACTTAAATTCTGACATATTACCAGTACATACATCTTTTTATATGTTCAACTATTGTCTGATAAAATGTTTAAAAGCTGTCTAGATTTCACGGATAATAACACTAATAAGTAATACTAATAATTCACTAATAACTAGATTATGTTGAGATCTGTGGATCTGCTTATAAGGGTGCTATTGCGTTACATATTATACTCTCGTAAAGTTGGTTGTTGTTAAAATACAGTCGTACTAGAACTTATATTAAGTTTTACTTATAGTGATTTCTTTAGAAATCATTGTCCAATGACATTGTATGATTTAAAATTCTCCATGGTATTTGGACAGTAAAATATACATTTACTCACCCTTCTTCATTAAGTTATTAAGTTATAACTAGAGTTAATAACTAATCGCAGAGCATCCCGTAGTTTCGCCCCGTCAATAATTTTAATCGCAACTGTGCTTCTGTCAAGTTCGTTTAAAATAGAGCTACTGTATTGTAAACCGTAAGCAGCCTCATGAGTCAAATGAAAAATCTGAAAGTTAATGAATAATAAACCCGAGGATGATGGAGCGTGTATTATGCATGTGGTAATCTTAGATGAGAATACGAGAGGGAGACGAAGAGAGGGGGCTGTGATTCTATAGCGGGCCTACTATTGAAGAAGACTCCCCTCGCTCTAAAGTTTAAAACAAAGTGTCCCATTTGTCAGTTTTTAACTTGAAAAAAGAAAGCTATTCTGAAATATTTAGGTTCGACGTAAATCACAAATTATAGTATACACGGAAATGTCGTCGTCGTTGAAATACAATCAGTACTACTATTCATAAACAACCTTTAATATCCAGTGTATACGATTTAGAGCACCAAATAACCAATCTATATCACCAATATCGTATTTATACCGGTTTTACCATGGAGAATATCGAGTATTAGAGTCCCGTAAATGTGTGCAACGAAATGGACTTTCAATGTTCCGATTTGAATTGAAAGGGTCATCAAGAACAAAACGGGCGTTGAATAATAGTTATTGTTACAGTGAATGAGATTCAC